CTTCCTTGTTAGTGAGGATGAGGTCAAGCAGGGCTCCTCTTCTAGTGGGCTCCTCCACCATTTGCATCAGTCTCTTGTCCTTTCTTGTCTAAGCTGTCTTTACCTATGCAAATCTAACTGTTGCAAATCTCACCCGAAGGTGAGAGACATGATAACTGCTTCTCTCCCCTCTACAGCAGTTTTGCAACTTCAAAGATAAATTCACTATCTTGTTTGACAGATAGATTCATATACAGTTCTACTGATATACTGACCATTGAATACACAAAGGACTATGCTAATAAATTATCTGAGTTGTAGCTACAGCTTTTGGGTAATCATTTCACTAGCACCATCAAAGATTTGTCAGATTGGGTCAAACCAGCATTTACTTCCACAATGGCTTTCTACAATGGGTGACTGCCAGCAGTGTGTTAGATACACAAAGCAGTGGAAAATCACAAAGCTCAATGTCGATAAGAAGCTGTGATAAATCATTTGGTACCCAGAATAACCCAGGGCCCAGGTGGAGATCTGGTGGTCTGTGATTAATGCAGCACCGAGGAGGAACATGACACAAGGCAAAGGCTGTGCAGCAGCTCCCAGAAACAAAGTTAATGACTTGGCCCTGTGAAATGAGGTGGGGGACACCCAGTCCCGCCCCTCCACAACGCTAAAAAGTAATTCTCGGAGCTAAGGAGCTTGCAGCTAACAAACGTTTATCAGAAGGAGGATTTGTGCACTATCAGAAGAAGGCTGCTCAGAGCACTATCGGCAGTGATAACAGTTGGGCTGAAGTCCGACCAGGAATGTGTTTATGACAAATAAGTCACTTTTCCCTCATAAGAAAAGTATCATGAAGTATTCACCAGAGCTTCAGAGCAAACCAAAATTCTTCCTTATCAGCAGTACCAACCACTAAACACAAACACAATTAACAATACAATTCAAATACAATCTAAAAGTATTAGATATTCATACCTGTTTATTTTTAGATTCTGCTTTAATTATATTCTTAAGAATAATTTCAGTAGGTTCTTTAAACTGCTCTCTGTCATGTGGAGAATGTAGCAAAGGCAAGCACGTATTCCAAAAGTGTCTAGCTGCAAACATTACAAGGGAATAATTTCCGGCTTCACCTGCGTACCTGAAGGAAGCAAAGTGCAATTTAACGAAGGAAAACAATCATTCTCTAACCAAAATTTACTTGTACAAACACCCAGGTTTGCCTGCTCTAGGCACCACCATATATAATCTCAGCAATAAGGGGTTAACATGTGAGCTTCAGGCAAAAGGTATTTTCCATTTTTATATACAAAACACCTTCATATATTCAGCAGAAGTAGCAATAAAAAAGTATTATATTGATGCTTTTACTGTATTTTTCTGTAATCTTAGCTCAAGAGCCTTCATCAAAAAGAGAGTAGAAATCTACTCAAGATGTACTCATTGGAATAATCCACGTTCTTTGATTGCTATTATGTTATTTTCTCATTCAAAAGGAATAAGTAGAACAAAATAATTATTAATATGCTATGGATTTTGCATAGTAGAGTACCACTGTAACACAAGAATTTATCTCGAATACTGCTAACTGCATTCAAATTGTTTTGAGCATATTCCATGCAAATGGTACATTGAATTAATAAAATTTTATAGTTTTCCTGATTATGATACAATGCAGTACTCACATGAGTGAGTAAAACCTTCAGAATTTAGCTAAAAATTAGGGACTGGTATTAAACGATCACCCATTAAGTACTTTCACTATTTTCAAAAAAGTAGTTTTTGAATCTGTCAATCATTCTAATTTTCTCCCATAGTTCTGTGGGGTTTAGAGTCCATACACACACATATATTATGCCTTAACACTAACCTTACGAAGGTCTAGTTTTTGGTCAACAATTTTTGTCTCCCTTTGGGAATGTGCTGAGCTGTACACCTTCCCGAAAAAGTGCTTGTCATAAGATGCATATGAAAAAAAATAAAAGTCTCATCCACAACATGACATCACCTTAGATTTCTGTTACACTGGCTCATGTAACTCCATTCATCACTCTCTCTTTAATGATCAGTGGAAGGAAGAAAATATTATAACATTAACAGCCTCACATCAGCCATCACGTGTTCATCGTCTAAGAGTTCTTTCTAACTGTCTATTTTTGCCTATTATTTTTTTCTTCCAAACAGCAAAGAATTCATACCAAAGTCATGCATCATCCAAGTATCACCTTCAACTGCCTATTCATTATGTAAAGCAATCTCGTCACTTCGGGTTCATGACATACAGTTCACAATATGAAGACGATGCTCCGCAACAGCCCAGGCTGAGGAGTAGCTCTGCTGGGAAGCACATGGGGATCTGGGAGGACAGCAAGCTGAAAACCAGCCAGGGGAGTGCTCTGGCACCGCAACCCAGCCTATGGGAACTGGAACGGGCAGCAGACTGAGGGAATTGATTATCACTCTCCAGCCAGCACCTTTTAGGCCACATCGAAACTACTGCATCCAGTTCTAGGCCACCCAACACATGCCAGACAGGGACAGATGGCACAAGCTCCGTGAAGGGCCACCAAGATGATCCAGGGACTGCAGCACTTACCTTGACAAGAGAGGCTGAGACTACCGAGTTAACTCAGTGTGGAGAAAAGTCGGCTTTGGGGTACCTAATGAGGAGAACCTTCTTAATAACCTAACAAAGTTACGGAGAAGCAGCAGCCAGGCTCTTCACAGGGGATGGCAGGCAAGCAAGAACGAGCGTAAGTTGAAATAAGAAAGGTTCAGAGTGGATATAAGCAGAAACTTTTTCCCCATGAGTATAGTCAGGCAGTGGAGCAGGATACTCACAGAGATGGTGCAGTCTCCACTCCTGGAGGTTTTCAAGATCAGACTGCACAAAGCCCTGGGATGGCTCTGCTTTGGCAGGAGTTTGGACTAGACCCCTCCTGAGGTCCCTTCCAACTAGATTCTCCTATGATCTTACGACATTACAAGATCAGCTACGTGGAAGGTACCTGATTAATTTACTAAATTGTTAAAATGTGTCAAATCCTTTGTCAAGCATTTCAACTCACAACTAGTTTGATTTTTATCAGTCTTAGGAGAGAGTGTGTTGACCCCTAGATTTGTAAATCAAGTGTTAGGTCTGTTTAACATTAGTCTTCTCTCAGAATAAAACATACCTGGCACTCTGAACAAAGGCTTTTGATGCTGCTACACGCATATGTTTTCTTCCAGACAAATTTTCCATTATACTCTTTCCTTGTATACAAGCTGCAGTGCTTAACATTTCTTGTCTCACTCTGTTACCAGGCCTGAGTAAAAGCAAATAATTCAAGAAATGCTAGTTTTATATTCTAAGAACATACCAGTTCCTATTAGTAATGCTTTCAGGTTATGACTAAATAGAAGTCCCTGTCTTTGAAAGCTACAAATGCTTCCACTGACTTTACTTTTAAAGTCAGAAAATATTTGAAAAACTGAACATTTTGTGAAAAGGTATCAGAAATAAAATCTGTTTTTCACAGCCCTTACAAAAATTACGTGAAAACAGATTTAAAAATTATTATTTGCATTTAGAAAGGGGAGAAAATAGATCTGGGGTTTTCTCTCCACTATTCACTATTCCATATCAAACAAAATATTAGTTTGAAGTCAAACTTATATGGCAGGCAATTAGAAACAGAAATAAGGAAAATTAGACAATTTTTGACGCTTTCTTTTGGAATTGGCCTCCCTTACGTCTGGTAAAGTATGCACAGGGCTATGGTGAAATTGATCTGGATCATATTCCACTATATTTAAAAGAAAATAATGCAGATTTCAGTCCCAGCATTTGATCAGTTCGAAATAGACAAGTAAATAAATTTGATACCTTCGGTTAACAGTGATATTTTAAGAAAAGACGCAACACAATTTTCAAGATTTTTTTAACAACCCAGTTACAACGTGCAACCACCTGTGGAAACAGGGACATTCTGGTCAGCCCAGTTCCCACCCTGTGTGAGAACTATCACACATTAGGATTTGGATCCACCAGAGGGTGCCAGGGTTCTACAGCGCAAGAGAACAGCGACAAGAAGAATGTTGAACATTTCACCCTTCTTTGTCCTGAGGTTGTGCTTTACCACGTGTCCTGGTTCGAGTGGAACCAGACCCGGTTCTGTTCAGTGAGTTCACTTGTCAGCTCAGGGTCTCCTGAGAGGCTGCGCTTTCGGCAGGCAGCAGCGCGTTGGTGCGGGCACTGCCTGTGGCTGAGGGGCTGGCACCGCTCGGCGCTGGGTGCAGATACAGGCTCCTCGAGGGACCAAGGTCACTGCTGGCTCTTGTGGAACATGCTGGGGTGCCGGGAAGTAAAAAGGCCACAAGGAAGCAAAAACCCGCCCGCCTCTGGGGAGGAATGGACAGGACAGACCCAAACCTGACCAACAGAGTATATTCCATTCCACACCCGTCCCGTTCAGTCCAAGTCGGAGGGATCGGGGTTAAGGGCTCGTGCTCTTCCTCAACACCCAGCACCCATTCATCTGGCGGGCCCAGCCCTAACCCCTGACACCACGGGAAGACTAAACTTACCTTCCGTATCTCTGGGACTAGCATTGACAATCCATTTCTACATTTCCTTTTCAAAGAAACAAACATTTTCTCATTCACTAGCTTCAAGATTGCTAGGTAAGCAGCAAGTAGTTTCTCAAGCTCTGTAATGTTCCGAAACTACGTATTTAACATGAAGAGATCTTATTTGGTTTTATATGCTACCCCCATGCAGCAAAACCCCATGAACTTCAAAGAGCAGAATATGTTTTAAAAAAAAAGAGAAATTATTTTTCAGAGAGAAAAGTGACTAATAAATTGCCTTTTAAGTGTTTCACATGTTTCTCTCAAACTTCCTACATTCCAACCAATGCTTACTCAATGGAGTGGATTTCTGCCTCTTTTGATAAAATTACTTTCTGGATTTGGAGGAAATTATAGTAAAAAATAGAAAGATAGAAGGATATCGCCTTTTTATAATAAAGGTCTCCATCAACAGATCTGTTTAGATAAAAAACCTTTTCTTCCCTGTTCTAAGATCTAAGCTTTAAATTATCAGTTAAGTCAGACACTAGGCTTTTATAGAGATGAGTTACTTCCCTATCACACCCATATGCATAGGTGGCAATAAAACCCATAAACACTACCTGATACCAGAGCTTGGAATATAGTAGGTGCTATCACCTGTTATCACTCACAGCTCCATTTTATTACATTCACTGTGTAGGCTCTCTGGGTATTACAGCCAGTTCAGTATCCGAAGCAATTTGCATCAGCAAAAGATCTCAAATAAGCTACTTTCTGCTTGAAAATTATAAAAGTGTGAAAAGACCATGAGTGCCAGAGAAGACACTCAAATACATGTATATATGACCTGTATATATACACACATATATATGACTTCATGTACCTGTTACCCAGGCTACGCTGCAGAGTTAAAACATCACCTTCAGTACTTCAGTAAATGGCTAGGACAGAGCCAGCAGAAGTAAGAAAACTTCGCTTTCAACTGTAGTTTCTTCATAAAAAAAGATTCATTCACTTCGGGTTATGTGATCAGATACATTTACCCCTTATACTTTTTCATCACAAGTTACTTCAGGCATAACACATTATCATGCAAAATTCCACATACTTACATTTCATGTTTCTTTGCATCTCTGTTGTGTGAAAAATCCTCATCTGATTGCAAGATCCGTTTGGAACAAGTCATGGCTATTTCATAGTCACGTGATGCATATGCAAAATACGTAAGTCGTGTCAGTGTCTGCAGTTCCACCAAGGAATCTGACCAGCTGCATTCTAAAGCCATTTTCACTAACTGGGGAAAAACCAAACAGACAGAAAAGAGAGTTTAAATCCCAGGTTTTTACCATGCTCTCTTCTAGAAGCACTTACATGACTACAGCTGTGCCTTCCACACAACCCACCTGGACATGGAACAATGTGAAACAATCTAGAAAACTGAAGAGTTGGAAGAACATCAAAACGTACAAAAGAGAACCATCATTCACCTTATAGTAAGTATTATAATAGCATACATAAGTCCAGCTGTACACACGTATGCTTTTTGACCAGCAGTATCTGCTAGGACTTACATGTTCTCAGTCTTCTGAAAAACAGTGGAACAGGACTTGTGAAATACAGGGGCTGTTTCAGTTAATCCAAAGGTAAAAACATGAGATAGAACTGGTTTCACAACAACCATGTTTCATATAGGGAACTGAGGCTGGTTAGTCTGGAGGAAAGAAGGCCGAGGGGAGCCCTTATCGCCCTCTACGACTACCTGGAAGGAGGCTGTAGTGAGGTGGGGTCGGTCTCTTCTCCCAGGTAACAAGCAATAGGACAGGAGGAAATGGGCTCAGGCTGTGCCAGGGGAGGTTTAGACTGGACATCAGGGAAAAACTCTTCCCCAAAGGGTGTCAGGCCCTGGCACAGGCTGCCCAGGGCAGAGCTGGACTCCCAGCCCTGGGGGGATTTCAAATCCGGGTAGACCTGGTGCTCAGGGACACGGCTCAGTGGTCACCTGGCAGCGCTGGGGTAATGGTTGGACTCAATGATATGACAAGTCTTTTCCAACTCTAAATGATTCTATGATTCTATGAAGTTTTATCAAAAAAAACCCCAAAACCACAACAAAAACCAAATCGTCTGAAGCGTGGTTCTGTACAGAATTCACAGGAACCCTTAATGTTCATCTGATGGTTATGGAAATAACCCGTTAGAGCAACATGGGAATAGTTCTAATAATTCTGTATTCTAATGCTATCAGGTTTTTTTGATAAATGAAAATAGTCAGTCATAAAAATCTTCTACCTGTCAAAACTATCCAATCTCTAGAAAAGTTTTAAAGTAATGGTACAATAGAAGTTTCAAAATTAAATTTGTCTCCATCCCAAACTGAAAATGAAATCATATTTATACTATACAATTTCTTAAAACTCAAGAGCTAATAAAACAAAATTAGATACCTGATGTAAGTTAGGAACAGTGAAATCCATGAGACCCAAGCCATTACAGGAATACATCTCTAGACCAACAAGAACTCTTGCTGTAGGGTTTAGTACTTCAGCTTTATTCTAAGTAGAAATAAAAACATATTAACAGATTTAATTTCTTTTTCAAGTAAACGTTACTTACATTTCAAATAAAAGTTTCAACATTATGCAGGATTTCAGAGAAATAATACCTCCTCCTCAGTCCCAAGTTTACATTCAATCTGCTGCCGATTCAGCTGTTTTGCTTTCACCCAGGTAGCAATGATCTGTTGTTGAGCAGCGATAGGTATTGTTTCGTTTGCTATGGTTCCAGTTGTCACATTTAGGGCAAATTCACAAATCTAAACACCAAGAAGAAAAAAACCCACTGAAACACAAAAGAAACATGTAAAGCTTTTTGTTTGGAGCATGTCATCCACTACTTATTTTAGAATTATTGTACGTGCATCTCTTAAGCCTAACAACATCTCCATTAAGTCAACCCACATGGAAAATAGAAGTTAGAGACCTCAGCCTCAGCTGGTAAAAACTTCAGTGTGCAGTTGGGAAGGACCTAGAATTGTAAAATATGGTACCTTATTTTTTGCAAAAAAATCTACACTTTATATGAATTATAACATATGACAGCAGACCAAAAAAGAATACAGAAAACAAGGGCCTTGTACCTCTAAGGCAGCTTTAATATCAGGAAGTCCACAGGGATCTACTGAAAAAGACTGGATGACATTTGCTTTTTCATGTTTCTTTGCCTCAGCTTTTCTGTTTCTGTCTGTTGCTGCATCGTTTGTTTTCTTTTCAGCAAGTTTTGGCTTTGGAATCCAACAAAGAAGTAAGCCCCGAGCCAAAGCATTACATAGCATCAGTAAAAGCACAGTACTTCTGTAGAACAAAAAAACACCACTCAGAAGTGCATACTGCATCAGATCAAAGTAAGAAATAAAAATTACTTGAAAATCTAGATTTTTTTTCTTAGAAAGCAAAATTATGTATGTTAAAAAAAAATCCCATTAGAAAATCAGTTTAAAAAGTTTAACATGCAAAAAACTACAAACAACTTTCGAAGGTCACATAATGTATTTCCAGGTCTTTCTATAATTGAAGTTTCTATTTCCTCATTGAAAAACAAAATCAATATTTATGTCAGACAAATACAATTTTGTGTGTTTGTTTTTCTGAGAAGCCTGGCCAGGCAGGTCAAGGGAGGTGACTCTCACCCTCTACTCTGCTCTTTATTTATTTTTTTTTCTTGTCTCTTATATTCCACTTGCAGTTCTGTGTCCAGCTCTGGAGCTCTCAGCACAAGGACATGGACATGTTGGGTTGGTCCAGAGGAAGCCACAAAGATGCTCAGAGAAGACCTTATAGTGGCCTTCCAGTACCTAAAGGGAGCTACAGGAGAGAAGGGGGGGACTCTCGATCAGAGTGTAGTGATGGCACAAGGGGTGGTGGTTTCAAACTGAAAGAGGGTAGATTTAGACTAGACATTAGGAACAAATTCTTCAGAATCAGGGTGCAGAGACCCTGGCACAGGCTGCCCAGAGCAGCTGTGGGGCAGTGCCCAAGGCCAGGTTGGACGGGGCTTGGAGCACCTGCTCTGGTGGGAGGTGTCACTGCCAAGGGCAGGGGTTTGGAATAAGATGGTGCTTATAGAACCTTCCAACCCAAACCATTCTATGATTCAAAAAAATAATTCTTCATTGGTGGGATGCTATGCATGAAAATATTAACTATTTCCTAAAAACAAGCCAAGCCCCTCACCGCTTCTTTATTTACACGGTGTTACTTGCATGACAATAACTGCTGAGCTGTTCTCCAGTACCACTGAAAGAGCCGCCTTTGTGCCAGTCCTGTACAATTGCCCAGTGCTGAGGTCACCGTCACTAATGTGCTAAAGCCAACAGGATTCTGTCACACAGTCAGACTTTGACCTGAGCACCTCCTCTGTCAGGGTCAGTCGCTCTCTCCTTTCACTCACTACAGGACAGCATTTCTCTGAACCACTGTGGAATCAGCATTCCCCTTTTCATGATCGAATAATGTCCACATTCCCTTTATTTATTTATTTCTCTTTTCTCTTATATTCCAGAAGCAGTAGTAACCTCCTTAGTCGGAGTAGAAATATTTACAATAAACTACGCTTACAACAGAGTTCAACTTCAGAGCAAATAAGAGCAAACACATTTTGAGCTGTCCTGCAAGCTCACAGGCTAAGAAAATTTCCTGTTTTTTTCTGACTAGCTTAACAAAATGTTATTTCACATGCACGTGTTGCTATCCCACAATGAAGAGAAATTAATATTGCTTAGTCTAAAGTTAATATGGCTTTTTGTGAATAGTAATAAAGAACAGATAGAAAGGATTAGAAAGTTAATTTCACAGCACAAAATTAAATTTATCTTCCGAACTACTCTATGTATACCAGAGTCCTACTAGTAAGGAAAGTCAGCAATTAAAGTCTGTCACAGCACAAACTGATTTGCAATATATGTAAAAATATTTTTTGTTTTCAAAAAAAATAGCATGTTCATAACCAAACATCTAAATTTACCCATGGTGCCCAACAGTCTTCATGGCTCCAAGAAGAGTCTGCAGATACTCAATAATTTCCCTCTGTCTTCCAGAAGAGATAAGATGCCTGTTGTAGTTTAAGATATACACCACAGCATTGTGAACAATCCAGGCTTCATTCAATTCCTCTCCTATTTCGGCTGCACGTTGGAAGTTTTCCATAGCGTACCGAGATAAGTAGTCTATCCATGAACTGTAAAATTAGTATAAAGAAGCTGTTGTTCTAAAACTTCATCACAAGAAGGAATTATAAGGTTAAACATGCAGTAGTATTTCTCAATCAACAACAATTTTTTTTTTTAATTATTTTTCAGTTATATTTACTAAGCCTTCCTCCGTTACCTTGTATTTTACTTGGATGAGAAGATGACTCGGGAAAGGAATTAATATCAACATAAATGAACAGACTCTGACTCTCAAAAGATATTAGCTTAAAAACTTGTGGCATTAGTTCATGCTTCTCCCCTGTGTTTGTGTTAAAATGCATGTGAATCCACCCATTAGTGCTAGGACTCATTAAATATCCATGACAAGGCTCTACCTGAACACAGATACAAGTAGAGACAACGTTTGAATGTCAAGGAGGTGCCTTTTTCACTTAATAACTGCATGTGTTCTTGCACTCAAATGTATCTCCAGATGTTCTGACATGCTAAATTAATTTTTAATAGAGTAACATATTTTTCATAGCCTATGCAATAACTTACTTTCTTTTTTTTCATTAAATATCAAGATGTAACATTACTTAGGGAAAGCAATACTAAAAATACAGTCTTGAACAACCATACAAAGTGGACGCGGTTAAGTCACAAAACCAAAAGCACAAACTGACACGAAGTATTACTGTCAGCAATGGTAAAGAACACAGTAAACTACAAATTTTTTTCCTTTGAGTTCTTAATCTAATTGGGTAAACTCAAAATCAGCTTAGTAGCAAATCACGGAACAGAATCCTCATCTTCTTTGACCCTTGGTTCTGATCAGTTCATGCTTTTTCCCATTTTACTGAACATTTGCAAGTAGACAGTGTGAGAAACTTCACTTATCTTCAGACTTAAAGAGCAGATACAAGGTCACAACTCTGCTGTCCTGCTCTTTGAGGACACGACCACTGTCACAATAAAGTTAATATTAGCATGCGTGTGAACAGAAGGGATTTTAAATATCATCTTCAGAGTTCTCCCTCGTCTACTCCTTCCCAAGAAATAACTGTGTGAGAGCAGGGAAAAAAGAATACCTGCTGTCTCCTGCTCTCCCATACTCCTTTCAGATGACTGGGAACAGATTAGTTTTGGAAAGTATGTAATTCATAGAATCCTTGACTGGCCTAGGCTGGAAGGGACCTTAGAGATCATCTAGTCCAACCTCCCTGTCATGGGCAGGGACGCCACCTCTCGACTAGACCAGGCAACACATGGGGACCGAGCAGGAATCGAACCCGCAACCTCAGTGTTGGTCCTTGTTGCCAGCACCGCGCTCAAACCACTGAGCTAATCGGGAATTAATTGTATGTATTCGCGTAGTCAGACATCTTTATAGTTACAGGAACAAAAAAACAAGACAAAGAGCTTTTTGATTTGGGTAAATACATTCTTCAATACAAAATTTCATGACCTAATAGTTTTTAAGGTTGGGATGTCAGCTTCCAGTTCCAGAGAAATAAATGTTAACTGTGAAAAAAAGATGCACACTAGAACTAAAGCAAACTAAAGAAAAAAAAATTCAAACAATTTTTTAGATTCTTTTCTTTTTCCCATTACCATGGCTACCTATGAATATGAAGCATTGGATGACAATGAATTTTACTAAGAAGAAATGATTTCTGCAAGTATCATCTGTCTGGGATAAAAAAAACCCCAGCACTCCTAGGCCTTGTTATGTACTACAGAAAAGCACCTGTATGTTTTCCATTCTGGATCACTTTCAGGAAGATATGAAACACATCCTGGATGATACTGGCTTCTATCTTCTGAAAGCACAGCAGGATCATTCAGTTCAACTCCCTGCAATCTCAGTAAATGAATAGTTGCCTAGAAAGATCCAGAGAAGAATTTAATACCCAGGTCATCATTGTGAAAATAGACTGTGACTTCGCATGTATTGTTACCTATGTAAAATACATCAGAATCTTCCAACTGTCTATAACTAATTTTACTAAATAATTTCATAGAGAAAAGAAAAAAAAGAGTAATATTTATTTATGTTTAATCAGGCTGGAACTATAATAATCCAGACATATAATGTCACGTGCCAAATACTGACACTAGAATCTCTTGTAACAAAGCGTTACCACCGCCTGCAGTGGAACTATTGCTATATATACTCTCACCCAGTATTTTGAAAAAGATGCTTCACGAATCTACTTCTTCCCTTAGTTCTTGTGGAGATAGACAATAATTAAATACAAAATTCCAGTGCTTTAAGATTTATACATTTATACAAAGCTAAATGAAACAAATATGAATGATAGCTGTGTAATTTAGTTACCTCTGCATTAATGAACCTTATTTCTGCTAATATTCTCAGTAAATCTCTTTCAAAAGAGAAGGAATTTGCCATCAGTAATGACTCTCCTGCTAAGCTCTCATCTTGATCATCATCCATCCTAGTTGTACTAGTTTTATTCTTCTGCGCTAAAAATAATTAAATAAATCCATTATCATTACCATGCAAATAAAAAAAATCACCTTCATTTTAAAATTTAAAAATCCCTATACATTCTTAAATCCACAAGAAAGAGTTAATAAGTACAGATTTATAATTATTTCACTCTTTTTTCAAACAGCACAATTTCTTGCACTCAAAACCCATTCTTCTCAAGCACTGCTGAGATATTTCCTACCTGTGATTTTCACTATTTGCAGCAAATAACTAGCTCCACTCATAATATGCACACTGAAATGAGATTAATATGAATATAGACTATGGATTCTAGTTGAGTTCTATTGCTTCAATGGAAATGGAGTGCTGGGTATTATGCAGTGGCTAAAGTCTCAGTGTGTTTAAATCATGGATAGAGGTTGACTTTCTGGCAACATATACATCAATAAAGAGAAAAATAGCATTATTTTTCTTTGGTTTCATACTAAAGAGAAAGGACCAAGATTATTTTAATATAAACACAAATTAAGAGCATAAAAACTGTCACAGTGGGTTCCCTCTACAGTGTGGGCCAAAAATGGGTGGTTTGAGGAAAGACATCTGAAGTAGGATACACAAAGTACTTTTTTCCCTGGCCTATCTTTACAGTTTCTCAGAGTCTGCACACAAGCAACTTCCTGAACCAGAGGTTCTATTCGACTCACCAAGCTCAGTACTCTCTGATAAATATTAGTCTCTGTATGTTTTTTTAAACCATACTTCAATAATCCCAAATAACTTTTTCATTTCTGTTGCAAAGTAAGGTTTTTGTTTTCTTAAAACCTGCAGTCTAATAATTTGACTGGATTGTTCCTGGTTCCTAGACCAATCACACATATTTACTTTCTCCAGACTAGTCATGTTTCATCTCATCTCTTTTCAAATTAAAGGGAAAAAGGACTACTCACCGTAAACTCAGGGCAACCACACACCAAAAAGCATCATGCACAAGAACTACTATGTTCTTTCTCTGTAACTCTAGAGCATCTTTAATTCTTTGCCTTCATTCAGGGTTAACAAGCCTCTGCAGACAGTCTTTACACTACAACAATTGTCTTTGCCCTATCCTCAAAATTATATATATAAGATGACCTTAGGTTTTTTTCACTAACTAATCCTATAATTAGGAGTAGTGAAGAAAAATCAAGTGTAACATGAAAATGAATGGTGCCAACAGTTCTCGGAGAACTTCAGTCAATCATAAATTTCTCTTTCTGCCTTGCGTTTCTACAAGCTTATTCACATTTCATTTAACTACAAGTAGTAACTCCACAGTGAGAAACTGTTCAGAACAGACGACCTCAACTGCTCCATCAAGTGGAGCAGTTTCCTTTGCATTTATAGAAACATGCAGCACCCAGTGAAAAGTACGTATGGGTTTTGAGAATGAAGAGGTCCCAGTTACTGTTTAGACTGACAAAGATGGAATTATGAAGTCCTGAAAACATTCAGAGCATGAGAGAGCTGCCTTTCCCTTGGAGATGCAAAATTTGTGAAAGAACATACCATCTCCTCTCAATGATGATTGTGAGGCGTGATTGCCCTGAGCTTCTAATAAGTCCTTCTTTCTCCCTTTAGTTTGGAAGAGATGAAAGATGAAACAGGGCAAAAAGAAAACATACAAATTAACGCCCTATTTTAACCAGACCTTAGAAACAAACTAGAGAAAAAATGTGCAACAGGTTCAGTTAACACTGTCTTTGGAAAAAAACCAGCCAGGCGTGTACTAGAAATTCATCCATTCTTAAAGGTAAGTTTTATGAACTTCCAAGCAAAAAAACACTTTGACAGATACATGTAAAAGCCACCAAGCAGCCAGTGTTTTGGAAGTGCTCTGCGCTGAGAACTCCACTTTAACGTGTCTGGCAGGGTTTCAGCAGACCCTCAAGAAACAAGGCACAGACAATGTTGGATATCTCGGAGGAACCACTAATAAAAATGTTACTAATTTTTAGGGTAAAAAGTGTTTACCACGTGAGTCTCGTACAAAGTGACCAAGAAACCATTTTTCTTCAGCTTTCTCAGGTAATTAAGTAAGGCAGAGATTAATAATGTGGGCCCAGATGTCCTTTAAGGAATGAATCTAGTTTCTTAGACAGGTAAATGCATTTCATAGAAGTACTTTTCTTTAGCACTGCGGAAACATTTCCGAAGGCAGAAATATGTATTGACTGATTTCTAGATTTGGAAGTAGAAAGAATATTCAGTGTATGTCAACATGCAATGACTGTCGAGTTTCGGGGAAACTCTGGGAATCGGAGGGAAAAAATAATAATGTTGGTTGATTTCTTCAAGTAACTCTAATAAATGAGGAAAAAGTTCCTCTCAAAACACTCAAAATAATGTATTCACTTACTTTTTTTAGGTTCTGTCACCTTCCTAAACAACGTATCACCATACAAGAGACAAAATCTACACGCTGCGCGGCAGACATCCCATACTTCTTGTTTACGTGCAACTTTTGCCAAATCTGCCCAATGTATAATTCTGTGAAAGAAAAAGCACACATAAAATTACTTCATAAGCAGGATTATCTTTCACATTTCAAGACTGACAGAAAAATAATTTCACTAATGACAGCCACCATAAATAAAATTTTTAAAATAATTAAAAATGGAAGACTTTTTATCAGTAGCAAAGATAACACTGTTACTTTATTAATTAGAAAAAAAAATCCCTCAGCGTATCAAGACTGGGACAAAACCCTTGTTTTGGATAGTAACTACTGAAATGTCAAAATGTGTGTGACACTCCTAACTGAGAAACTAAACTAAACTAAATATTTCAAAACTGATGCTAAGCATTTAAAAATAAGTCTTGAAAACAAGTTTGGATTCAGATTTTTTCAGAAAGCAGCTTAGTTTAAATTTCATCATGGATGAAAAAAAGGAAATGCCTCCTTTTAAATAAAGAATGGTAAAACTATATACAAAACCCATGGCTGTGGTTTTCCTACAGATTAATCTTTCTGATTCTCCAACTGGACCATTTAATTTCGTTAGCAGAAAAACTGTAGCACGGTACAAGGAGCTAAAAGGCCTCTTCAGCCCAGTTTCCGTTGTACATCAAGTCAGTCAATCTTCCAGCCTTGCCCCACTCATCCTTCTCGTGGCAGGTGGGTTTCGGAGTACGGGTGAGAGAGCGGGGCAGCAGCAGCGGCAGAATGCCACTACGTGTCCCACGTGAGCATAACGGAACTTTTCACAATTAAGGTGAATGCTCAAATGCTTTGCCAGGTCTGACTCAGCCGGGTAGCTCAGTGGTTTGAGCACGATGCTGACAACAAGGACCAGCACCGAAGTCGCGGGTTCGATTCCCGCTCAGTCCCCATGTGTTGCCTCGTCTAGTCAAGAGGTGGCGTCCCCACCCATGACAGGGAGGTTGGACTAGATGATCTCTAAGGTCCCTTCCAGCCTAGGCCAGTCTAGGATTCTACGATTCTATGATGACTGAAGTACTCAGCCTCTTGCAAAGTATCATCACGGAACTTCGTAACTGCAGTGGGAAAGTTTCCCATTAGAGACTTCTACACAAGAGGAAAGTGATGGTTCTTGCTTATAGTAATTACCTCTCTCTGTCATTTTCATTTCCTAAGAGATTCAAATGTTCACCAACTCTTTCCATGCTTTTAAGATGATGTTGTGCTTTTGCACAGAGGTAGCTTATTTGGCTTCTACTTTTAGCTGAGGAAACTTAGCAAAGAAAAAGAAAAAAAGGTGAATTTTAAGTATTAGAGATTAAAAAATCCATGTGAAGTATATGCAATTTGATTCATAACTACTTTCTGAAGCACGTGAAATCTTGTTCTTTTCAGCCCTTCAAGTTTTCCTCAAACCAACATCTATTCTTTTTTCTCTACATCTTCAAATATATTTGTTGCATCAAAAACATATTTATGCTTGTTTGGCCTCAAAACATCTCAAGCACACGTCTTTTCTGACAGAACAAGCATTGCTCTAATTAGCTACTAGATGTTATGTCCAACCCTGAAGGCTGTGCAAAGCAGTCCCAGTCAAGGGTAGCAACTTTTAGTCACGCAAATGTACGTTACCTTCAGCCTTTTTTTCACCATCAAGGACTATTTGAAATGAGTCAGGAGCTAGTGCAACACCTGCATTTACCAGAAGGGGCCTCTTTTTCCTCACATTATCTTCCTTCTTTCCCCTTTTAGCCTACAGAAAGAAAAGAACTAATTGTTGTAAGGTGCATTTTTATTATATTCCTACTTATACATCTTATTTACTAAAGATAACAGAATGCAGATCATATAAACTGGTGCTACCAAAAATTATCTCTAGGAATTGCGTATCTTCATATACTTTACACATCATGGTCATGGTCCTTATGGATCTGTCCAGTATATTTATGGAATCATAGAATGTTGGGGGTTGGAAGGGACCTCTAGAGACCATCAAGGCCACCCCCTGCCAGAGCAGGGTCACCCAGGGCAGCCCCACAGGAACGCGTCCAGGCAGGTTGGAAGGTCTCCAGAGCAGGAGACTCCACACCCTCTCGGGGCAGCCTGGGCCAGGGCTCCGGCACCCGCACAGCCAACAAGTTTCTCCTCATGTTGAGGTGGAACTTCCCATGTTCTAGCTTATACCTATTTTTATAAGGAATAATAGATATAAGCATCACCAAAAAGAGATTGGCACCTTCCTCTTAACACCCACCCCTCAGATATTTATACACATTAATAAATCCCCTCTCAGCCGTCTCCTTTCCAGGCTGAACAGCCCCAGGTCTCTCCCCATCCTAGCAGAGATGTTCAGTCCCTTGATCCCCCTCGTAGCTCTCCCTTGGACTCTCCAGTAGGTCCCTGTCTCTCTGGAACTGGGGAGCCCCAAACTGGACACAGGATCCCAGGGGTGGTCTCACCAGGGCAGAGCAGAGTGAGAGGAGAACTTCCCCAGCCCTGCTGGAGACACTTTTCTTAATGCCCCCCAGGATCCCACCGGCCCTCTTGGCCACAAGGGCACGTTTCTGTCCCAGGGACACTCACTGCCCACCAGGACTCCAAGGTCTTTCTCCACGGGGCTGTTTTCCAGCAGGACATCCCCTAATCTCTGCGGATGCCTGGTGTTATTCCTCCCCAGATGCAGGACTCTGCACTTGTCCTTATTGAACTCCATGAGGTTCACCTTGGCCCAGCTATGGATTTGTGTGTTTTCAGTTTCTCCAAGAGGTTTCTAACCCAGTCCTCACTGACCAGTGAAGAGTCTTCCTCATTCCCGTTTTGCTTCTTTACTTCTAGTGGCTGGGATTCCTGACAGCTGGTCTTAGGAGTAAAGACTGAGGTAAAGAAGGCATTCAGCAATTCTGCCACCTCTGCATCCTGTGTTACCATATTTCTGACCTCATTTAGTAGTGGACCCACTTTTTCCCTACTCTTCTTTTTCTCATTGATGTATTTGAAACATTTCTTCTTGCTATCTTTCACCTCCCTAGCCAGACTAAGCTCCAAGAGAGCCTTGGCCTTTCTTGTTGAGTCTCTACATACTCTGGCAGAGTATGTATTCCTCAGCGTGTAACCTGTCATTACGTTACACATTCTTAAATAAAGAACAGTATTTATTTAGAAATCAACAGTAACATATCCATTGTCCAATAACTGGGAATTGCTACAAATACGGAAAATTCGTAGTCCACTTGGAATGAACCAAAGTCACAGAAGGTGTAAGTGCTTTTTTAAAAATAACATTTAAACAGAGTAAGCCTGCATGGAAAAACATTAGAACCAGATGAAAAATTTTCACTTTTCTTTGTCTTAATAACAGACATATCAACTAACCAGCAGCCTTCCAGTACTGATTTTAGGTTCAGTGAGCACATCTCGATTTCTGTGAATATTGCAAAATGATGTACAGCTGAAATTTCTTTCAGCCAACTAACAGTCAGTGTCAATATGGTTTTGTTCAGGTGCCAAGGCACCACAAGAGAATGAGATGCAGGAACTCCTGACAGTGACTACACTGTGACTTTAGACTATTTAGTGTCGTTCGTGTGACATAATCCTGATTTATCTCAAAGCCAGCTAGGATGTTTGGAATCGGAGAATAGTTTGGGTTGGAGGGGACCTTTAAAGGTCACTTAGCTCAGCTTCTCTGGGCAACCTGTGCCAGGGTCTCACCTCCCTTACAGTGAAGAATTTCTTCCTAAGATCTAAGCTAAATCTGCCTTCTTTTAGTTGAAGATCATTACCCCTTGTCATATCACTACGCTGCCATGCTGGCTCACGTTCAGTTTTTCACCCACCAACATCCCCAAGATCTTCCCTGCAGCGCTGCTCTCTGCCCACTGCAATCCACCGTGCTCGTGCCTGGGACTGCCCTGCTCTAGGGGCAGGACCTTGCCCGTGGCCTTGTTGAACCTCAGGAGATTCGCATGGGCCTACTTCTCAAGCTTCTTCAGCTACTGGGCCACTGCTCCCCTCATGAGTTAAGGCAGTGTTCCATGCAATGATATCTTAATTGTTGACAATAGGCTTCTTTTTTGCTGGTATTTTTCCTAATGAACAACTTCCTCTCCCCACCACAAGAAATAAGCTTTGAACATCACTGGAGAAAATTTTCTATTGCAATCTTCAGAGTCTGAAGCAGCACGACCAGTACAGAGAGAATTTGGTTTTTTGAGGCAACCAACCAACGCCAATTTCCTGAAAGCAAGGTGATGCTGGCTCTACCAATATGGAGTTCAACTAAACAGACGGCTTTCCTCTGCCAGAATTGAACAAGCACATCTATTTCACCTACTGACCTTATTCTTCATGATTACCTGTTCAATCATCATTACTGCCCGATCCTCTCGATGCTCAGGTGACTCATACAGCATAGCGTACAAACGAAGACGGTTAAAAGTCAGTCTCAGATGTTCTTCATACTGCCCACCGTTGTTTAGATGTAGAGCTTTTTGCAAATGTTTCATAGCAGCCTCTATTCTATCCCCATCTTCTTCAATACGAGCTATTTCCATATGAACTTGGCAACGCAACAAAATCAACATGCTAAGAAACATGAATTTAGATATAAACTGTTAAAATGAGGCAAACTAAAATTCTCACGCCTAAAAATTACCCCCAAGTGAAACTCAATAATTAAAAGTGACTCCAGTATGAAAACAGATATTCCCTTTTTAACTTACTTGTCTCTTTCATTTTCACTATCATGCCTTTTTAATGAAACTACTTACAAAAGTTGACTGCGTTTTACATCCACTAACATTACATGAGAAAACACAGCCATAGGGGAGCAACACATCTCGTAACCTAACTGATCCCTGCGTATGAGCGTTTTCAGAAGCATTTATTAACTCCCAGAGAGAGCATGATGTGCTGGTAAATGGCCACTGTCGATAAAAGCGCATTCTTGTAACATTTCAATTGAAGTTAATACTTAAAAATTTCCAGCTCTGCTTGTACGAGCTCACCACTGTTAAGGATTCGGCTCACTGCAGGGGTACCCACTGCAGGCAGTGTCTTTGCCACTCCATAAAATGAGCATGTTTTCAGCGAAGCCTTCGTGTCCTCCCGTCTCAAATACCCTGTGCTCCCTGTCCATTCCCTGCCCAGGGAGCTGCTCGGGACAGCAGTGAGCTCCACACACCGCTTCAGCTTCAGAAGCAGTGTCACGAAAAATAAACCAGAAAGGTTTTCAAGGCTACCAGACGTCATGTCAAAGAACTAACGCCATCCACATTAGAGCTAACCCGACTGAATCAAGACTGCCGTTTTCTGTGGACCAAAGTTAATGCTAGAACTGAAACAAAAATAAAGGCAGGCAAATTAACAGAACAAGCGACTTCAATCTCTAGTGACACTACCACCCCAGATCTGAGGATGAGCCTTCTGGACTTCTGGGAAACCAGAGATAATAAAAGCCAAAAGCCTGACTCCACAAAAGCCTACACATGCGCTTCTAGAGAAAAATTGCCGTTACTGACATTTAGCATAAATATCGAGGTCACGTATGCTGATATTGCACTCTTCACATGGAAAGCATCAGAAATGCTTGAATAGCAGCACAGTAATACAATACAGGGGGTTTATATATGTGTATATTTACTTCTTCAGGCTTCCACTTCCTCTTTATGTAATTAAAAAAATTACATTTTAAAAACACTGCAAATACATTCCCCACCTTCCTCTGCAAGACTTCTATCAGAAAACACTTCCCGCTCCGCTCAAATGACAGATTCTGATGATTGCTACTAGTGCTACTGCAAAAGTTACAATCTTTATTTGTAGCAGTCAGCCTATTATAGATCCAAAGTTAATTAAGTATCACATACTAAGATTTACTTGTTCTGCTCAAATTAACGGAAAAGGTGAAGCTATCTAGGTGCTTAAGCTTAAGCACAGTCTAACAGTAAACAGAAGAATACATTCTAATAACTTACACATTTTCTTAATATAGTCGGCTTTTCAATTCAAAAGAATTATCAACATACAAAAACAGTATCTTGCAAGCAGTGTCCTATCTGGTATGTAATACAGAAGTCACGAGTTTTTTCAAAGTAATTTTTCAACTGCATGTTTTTAACCAACACAAGTGATGTTAACACATGAATCTAAGTCACATGCCAACACATTTACTCAGAGTGTAGCTTTGGAATTTTCTCACATAATTTGAAGTAACTATAGTATTTTTCAGCTCCGAAAAAAATCAATAATTAATACAGGCTGTTAAACTGCGTGAGATTTTGCCTGAAAGGAACCTATATTTAAACAATTAATGTACATAACACGCAGACGTCAGTTTATTACAAGCAAGTGGAAAGTGTTCAAAGTCAGTTGGCATCACTGAGCTTGAGCTTTTAAAAGAGTTTGATCCTCAGTCACTCGGCCTTTCAAAATAACAAATAAAAATGTACAGAGCACAGAAAGGTACCTGTCAATCTCCTCAAGGACATCAGCAGCTGCTATCAATGCCTTTCGCACGTGTTGATGCAAATCGCGGTGTAGTAGTGGTAAACACAGATTCCACAGGGTTGTACAGACCACCTGAATCACACCAGGATCTCCCAACTGAACTGCACGTTTTAAGGTTAACTCAAGGTTTCTTATCAATTCCAGTTGAGTCTATACAAGTGACAAATTCATTAGCACATACTGTATTTAATGAATACTTCTTACACGTTCCTCCAAATTTTAATCTTATGACTGCTTCCAACACAAAGCAGTCCCTCAGCCTGCAGATTGCGAAAACTTTTGTTTGTTTGAATATAGTGCCACAAATGCAGTATAGGAGAGGAAAAAAGGAAATATTACGAGTGGTATTTGCCACACTGTCAATTAAACTTGGCTCCATTTAAATCTAAAAGCAGATACTTACCTACAGTAATAGACATTCACTAATTATTAAGTTCTTTTTAGAGGTTATGTGATAAAAAAAAGAAAAAATCAAACAAAAACCCTCTCCAACTGCATGGTAATAATTGGTAATAATAATGGTAATAATATTTAAAAATACCTAAATATCTTTTCTGTTTTATTTAAGCACTCTTAGTAGTGTTTCATATTATGAGTAATTCATAAAATATTTTATTTCAAAAGTTTTATTTCAAAATGAAATTTCTGAACTTCAAAATGAGAACTGTCATAGATAGGAGTAAGTTTACGCACTAACACGATTGATTTCCATGAACCATACTCATACTTCACACTTTAGGAACTTTAGGTGTGTCTAATGGGTGTTCTAAATTGTTCACTGGAGGCATCTATCTAATCCCATTGCTAGCAGTGACAATTTAGGCGTCTAGTTTTGATGATCTGAATTATAACTGAGTCAACTGACTATAGAAATCTAATAAAATCCTCCCCAGTGTGACAATTTATCAGGAATAATTTGCATTTCTCTGACATAAGAATCTATAGATCACCCAGAACATGCAAAAATATTTGAGTTGGACTCAGTGATCCTTATGGGTCCCTTCTAACTTGAGATATTCTATGAAACCAGACGTGTCAGACAGAAGACAAGGGAAGAATAAACAGCTGTTGTTTACGTTTCTCTGATTTCTTCCAGGCAACCCAACCAGCAATACAAAACTTAAAAGAATTTCTGATCAGCATAATACAATTAAGACACACAAGTCCAACGCAATTATCCATATTTAACAAATTAAAATTCTTACTTTTCCCTCAAAGTTAATGTTAAAAACATACCTCAACGACTCCTTTGGTATAAGTCACAATTTTAGTGCTGATTTTTTTAGTTTCGTATTCACATTCCAGGCATTCTATTTCAATAAGTTTCCCTTGATCCTATGAAGTATTAATACAAAATGATAATTTTAATAATTAAAAAGGAACATAAAGAAGATTAAACCCATGCAATCGCATTAATACAGCACTGCACTTTCTTACTGAAAATCCCACTAGACTGCAGCTATTTAACGGAAACAATAAAAAGGGAGTGGAATCTGTCATTTGAACCGCAGTCACTTCTGACTGAGCCGAAGCTGCAAAGTAACTACCAGGATTTTCAAAGTTGTTCACTGTCAGACTTTGTAATACGAAAACCAAAGTCCACTCGATTTTTCCTGTACTGTGGTTTGATTTCAGTTCTGACAGATACCTGCTCGTTAATGTTACCAAACAGGTGCATGCCTGGAATAAACAAGAGCTGGTCAAGACAGCAAGGATTCATCTTGATGGGTAGTGCAAGTCGTAAGTGAAAAAAGAGATTAGATTTTTAACAGTTCAGGAAAGATTTGGCTCCAAAATCTTCCAAGTCATATACATGGATCATTTCAGATAGTTTGTATTTGGGCTCATACAGGGCAGTAGGGAAGGGCAGACAGCATCGCCCCTCACAAGTCACTGCAAACTGTTACCATATCACTCAGCATGGGCCTTGTTAATTTTACATCCCCGTGACTGGAAGCTGCTCTCATGTAACGACAAACACACACGGGGATGGAATTCATGTTAAGGCCGAGAAATCTGTCAGCTTTTGGCAAAAGCCAGAAAACTGAACTTGAAACAGGTTTCTCTGACTCTCCCATGAAGAGGTCATTGCCAAAGCGATGCTGGGCAAACACCCCAAACCCTCAGACACTCACTAACTCCAGGAGAGCAGAAGGCTGAACCAGCAGCCAGACTTCTCTGCCGCTGCCACAGAAGGGCGCTTGCTACTCCTGTCTATACAACGCTCGGGCTAAGTCCTTGTGAATCTCTAATATAGGGGATTTAAGCCCATCTCTCCATGGAACACTGTGGAACTGTGTATCAGCTTAGACCTGTGAGAAATTTTCAGAAAAAATGGGCCTGAAGCATACACGTGGAAAAAAACAACTCACTGACAGTAAGTAAAATCTACAAGTAACTCAAAGGAGGATCATTATAACAGAAATTTGAATGTGTGCTTTCACACATGGCAGCACCTGATACTTGTATTTCTTTACATGCACATTTTAGGTAACTCAAATCCTAATCCTGGACATCACAACCAGGTACTCAGTTCAGGCATTCACATGTGAAAAAGGTGCTGAGTTTCTGGGTGCAGTGATGCCCAGTTCTGTTTCTCAGTGGGCGCACTTGTTCTGGCTGGGATGGAGGGGGGGGGTCAGCAGCAGGGGCCCCTGCGCAAGGACGGGCTGGGCAACAGGAGCTTGGCGGGGAGCAACCCTTTGCATTTGCATCACGTGCTTTTCCTTGGGTTTTACTCTCCTCTGATTCTTTTTCCCCTTATCATCATCATTATCATCATCATCTTCTCACTCTTACTTCTTTTCAGTTATTAAATTGGTTTTCTCTTAGCCCATTTTTTCTTACTTTTACCCTTGCCATTCTCTCGGCCGTCTCACCACGGAGGGGTGAGCGAGCGGCTCAGTGCTGCTTTGCTGCCGGCTGGATTTAAACCATGACAACGCAGAAGGAACACAAAAAAACAAAGCTAAGAGCTGGACATAAGAATCAAAATAAATACACACATTGAAAGACCTGTTATTAGAGAGACCACACAAAATTTTAATCTAAGAATACCCCTACAGTAACTTTATAATAAAAAATACTACAGAAGAACAAAAATTATTAAATGTTAGTAAATAACAATTCAAATAATAGTTTGTCAGAAAAATGAATCATTGCTACTAGAGAAAACTGTGAAATGTACAGGAGCAAACAGTACCAGAAAAGATGCCCGCAAAGGAAAGGATTAGGAAGTGCAGTTTGTGGCACAATGTCTCTGGATTCCTCGCCCCAGTGGGAGAACTATACTGCTTAACTCCTACTTTACAGAAAAACTAACAATTTGGGGGCTATTTTGGCAAGGGTTTTGAACTCCTCCTTTCACCAGTCCCCTAATTGTGCTCCAGACAAAAACTCCATTTCCTCCTCAGCAAAAGAGGAACTCAGCTTCTGTTTTGCAAAGCTGATACGATACTTATACAGACTAAAGAGAGTGTACGTAACATTAACTGCTTGTAGAGCTTATGTCTTGGCAACCAGTTACAACCCCAACGGGTGAACTGGTTAAATCTCCTGCAGGTAGCATTTATGTTCCACAGATAACACTCGAAAAATCTAGGCCAGAATTTACAGTTAACATTTATTTGCCAAAACTAACTGCATTGCTAATTACCCTGTTCTTCCTATACCCGACCTTCTGAGCTTACGTTTCTCTAGGAACAGATCACTTACCCAAGTAATTATTTACATTAATGAATATATAGAGAAAAAACATACAGATGATCTCAGAACCATCAGTAGTATTTTTAAAGTACAATCACTAGGGGAGGAGAGTGTTAAAACAAAACTCAGCCATACACATTAATACTTACAGTAATTCCAGCTCTCTTCAAATCAAGAATACAGTCATAGGCAAGCTCAATGCAGTTTACCTTCACAGAAAAACGAGCTAATTCCAGAATCAAAGGAATCCTTCAAAAATAGAAAAGCATCACGTCAAAGAATCTGATATTGTTCTTTTATAGAATTAGGAAAACACTGTATGAAAGTAATGTTGTGCAATACATCTGAAAACTCTGAAGTCATCTGAATATTAAGAGGATGTGACAGTTAACAGGGAAAAAAAAGGGAAAAAGATTAAAGGATTAAATTTGGGTACGTGAAAAATACAAAAGTTCATGTGTTGATAGCAAATAATTAGTATACTTCTACTTCAGCCTTGCATAAACTGTTCCCAAATAACATAAAGAAACACAGCACAAGGATGGTGAAACAGTAAATAAAGATTGCGGGTAATTCTGTAAATACAAGGCAGTCAATGGGCACACAATTTACAGCAGTCAAATCCATCAGTCAGTTAGCTTGGGAACTAAGAACACAGAACCCACAGACTGTGTTCTAAGTGTCTGGATCTCCATGAACAACGGCAGGAGCACAGCGTACTGATTGGGACAGGAGAGTAACGACAGACCTGAATAGCATCAAAGAACGCTGACCTTAATAAGTAAAAATTTAGTATTACTTCCCTATGTAAAAGCTGTGATATAACTACTGGCATAGAGAGTTCAGTTTATCTGCAGTTCAAAATTACGTTAAAGAACTAGAAAGGGCCCCAAGAAAAGCTAAAACCAAACGAAAATCTCAAAAGCATTTGTCAATTCTAAGACCTTTTAAAAATCTCATTTTATCAACAATAAAGAGTTATGGAAAGATTTAATCACATTACACAAACAGCTACATGGAAGAAGATATTTTAACTTGGGGTAACAAAGCCTAATAGGAACTTTGTCTTTTCTAAGATGACCTAAGGGTTAATGCTTAGAACTAAGCACAAGTTCCCTAAGCATGGCTTCTTCAAGGTCAAGAGGAATTTTGTCACACTTCAGTGGAAGAGGGATCAGCTTCTGCACCAACTTTCCCAGGGCTATGACACACAAAACTCACTTCATGTGGAGAACAGCTGCAGGAGGTACATCATATTGCTTCAAAAGCACATATAAAGAATTCAGATTTGTGCTGGCATCACTTGGAAATTCATCTGTGTCCCACTGCCTGCAATATATGATAAATTTATCATAATTTATCACAAGAAATATTATTCCATTAAAAATTTGAAATAACTCTCCTAATTTCAGAATGGATTCTTAGTCGAATGTATTAGTGAGATACCTGGATTTTAAAATACCAAAAAAAAAAAAGCCAAGCAACAAAACCTACTTCAGTATGCCAAGTAAATTACTCAGAGACAACCAGATACAGAGCACAAAGAACATTCCAGCATAAGGATTAATATTTCAGAGGGTAAAGTAAAATTCATTCCAGAAGCAAAAAAATGGTGTGCAAAACTCCTTTCCTACAACATCAACATAAATTAATCCACTGTTACTAAGAAAAGAATTTATACTTTTAAAATGGGGAAGTGTTGAGACATCGAAAAAAAATTAAATGAGATTTTGTTATGAAGTCTAATTTTCAAAATTGTTTCATGCCTTTAACACTTAAAAAGTTTGAAAAGTATCATGCTTCCCATCCCTGCGATTCACGCATTCTATTTTAGGAGTGGCTTCCCCATGTCATCTCTATTCTCGTACACGTCACTTGTGCACCAAAGCACAATCTGTTGGATACAAAAATGTCTTTCAATCTCTTAAATTCTTCCACCTGACAATACCTGTACAACACACTGTTCTCTACATTCCCAAAGAACTATTTCACTTTTTAGCCAAGACTGTTCTCTAGACAGGCCTGACAAAATAACTACCCTGATTCTGTCCTTTTAGTTTTGCTTTTAAGAAACTAATTTTTGCCACAAACTTTTCTGCTGGCAGACGGGATACTACCTCTGTAATTCCAAGCATCAAAGGACAAGGGGAAGGATACATTTTACTACTTACAATTTTAGCAGCTGCATTCTGTAAATAACCGAAAAATGGATGGAATTTTCTATTTCCTTCTCTACCTGGGGAATATCCACTAGTTTGTGATATATCTATAAAAGAACAATGTAATTATTAATTGACTAAATAAGCAAACAAAGGACAGACACTCAACAAGCTCTAAACAGAGAAGGTACTTTGGCTGTGGGCTGTTTCAGAGACTTCCAGGGCAGCCAGGCTGCTGTGCTGAACTCTGTTGTTCTGCACAGATAACCCCAAGGAGCACCTCACAGAGCTTGGCTAGTCTGCACACAGTGGGGTCAGAGGTATTAGCAGAAATCCAAATGTGGAATCAACAGCTGCATTAGAATTCTAATGAACACATTTTTAATAACACCTCCTGACAGAACTCATTCTGAAATCGTCTCATTCAGCTCCGAGAAATAAGCCCTACTCAAATGTATCTGTAACTACAAATTATATCTAACAAAAAATATGAAGAAATTACAATAACTGCAGTTACTTGAACTCAGCTACAGAGTTAGACTGGAAATGTCTGCACAACATTTCTCGTGACTCTCTCACACGGTGCCTGTAGCACCAGGATGGATTACTCGAGCTGGACTGGCACAGGAGGTCCTGCAGAACTTCCGTGTGCTGGGACTGAAGCACTCGGCAAAGCGCATCAGACTTCTGCAGCCCTGCTGAGACACAGGGCCCAAACACAATTTCAGGGCTTTACGCTTTAGTTAAAGCCACTGTCAAATAGCTTTGCTCAACACTGCCTCTAAAAAATACAAAAGGAAACAACAAATTTAACAATTATAACTACGATCTTATGAAACGTAGAGAAAGCTCCTGTCTTACTGGGAGTTTAAAACATTTTACAGCATTACCATTAGAGAAAATATCTGAGAGTATTTATCTGGAACATTTTCCTTAATAAAGATTGCTGCAGTAGATGAAAACTCTTTTGCTTCTTTCAGTTTTGAAGCATCAAGGAAGCACTCAAGTAAATTTCTGCAGATGAAATAAATATTTGTATTAAATATTTATTAATGCTTTCTGAAATAAATCTTGTTTATACTTTTTCAAGAGACTCTTTATATTCAAGGTACCACTCCTAAACACAGTATGAGCAATTAGTGCTGTAAAGCACTGACTCAACACGAAAGAGATCCTCTAACTTGTCTATCTTTGTTTCTTCTGGAGATACACAGCTGTTCACAGAATCACAGAACAGCCTAGGCTGGAAGGGACCTTAGAGGTCATTTTAATCCAGCCTGTTAACATACATGTATCGCAAATCACAAAAACAAACTTCGAAAAGGAGATCTCTGCAAACATTTTTCTCAACAAGACACTTGGAATTAAAACCACTAATTGTTTAAAACTGCACGAGAAAAACATTTCTATGAGACGTAGTCTAAGATTCTCCCTTAACTCCTGGACAGGCTAGTATTTCAAAGCCATCTGGAAAAGAAACCTTCATGTTGGGAGCTGCAACTATCTACCAGGTTTTCAATACTTTATCTGATTTAACTGAAAAACAGCCTGTGCTTGCATGCAATAACTTAACAACAATAACAAATATTGTAAAAACAAATACAGATGTCAAAAAAATAAATGCTACCACCAATTTTATAACACAAACACATTGTTTGTGCTTGCTAGTTCATACTCAGCAGGAGTACGCTTGGTACAAAAGAGCTGCAGGCTTGGTACTCTAGATGGCCTTCAGCACACCCCTGGGAATGTTTTGTTACTTGATTTTGTGCTTCCCCCCAGTTTCAGCTTACGGAGAAAATGCTGCGTAGCAATAAACCACGTCATAGACCAAAGAGAGAACAGCAGATCAAAAACAAAATATCTCTGAGAAAAAGTTGTCTGACCTTAAAAAAATCACAGAATCACAAAACCCCAGAATTGTGGGAGTTGGAAGGGACCTCTGGAGATCACCTAGTCCAACCCTCCTGCTAAGGCAGGACTGCGTTCCTGTGACCTGCCCTAGATTCTGTGGTTCTGCTCTGGCAGGGGGCTTGAACTCAGTGATCCCCAGAAGTCCCTTCCAACCCCAACCATTCTGTGATTCTGTGATTGCTGAGAGCACGGCACACAGGAACGTGTCCGGGTGGGTTTATGAAAGTCTCCAAAGAAGGAGACTCCACAACCTCCTTGGGCAGCCTGGGCCAGCATCTGTCACCTTCACAGTAAAGAGGTTCTTCCTCATATTTAAATGAAAATTTCTGTTTGTTTGTCTGTTTAAAGCTTATGTTCCTTTATCTGAAGAAAACAGTTGTCACAGAAAACAGGAGTTTGTCTTCCTCCTCACTTAAAAGGACTGCACATAAGCCAGCACTCAAACACTACATCCAGAATGACGGTGGGACTTCAGATGGGACCTCGGACCTCGCTGCCTCTGCCACTAAAATTTTAACCTCAAAGCAAATATTAAAATGAAGCTCCTTTTGTGTTAAGTGTACACGTATTAAAAGTTGTGAATTAAGCTTTCCACAATAAACGTATCTACAAAGTTACCAATGAAATATACATTATTAAAGACTACCTCAGGCCGCAGCCACATGTACAAGAGGACTGCAGAATGCCCCTATGAAAAAATACAGTTAAACTTACATCATGAGTTCCGCTCTCCATTCATGGTCTTGGTCTTCGGTTTGGTTTAATGCTTTAACAATATGAGAAAGGCTGGGAATAAGACAATAACGGAATCCAGGCTTAAGATATGGCCTCACAAGTTGCCAGTAAAGAACTGAGGCATTGTATGCTAAAAAATAGTATCTGAAAAACAAGAATTAAGAATTTGGTATTTCATGGACTTAGATAAATATAAAATTACAGATGCAGTATTTCATGACACTTCTAAGAAGCAAAAATTGGAACTTTTCCTATGTGTTTAGTTAAGAACAAATCCTAACTAAGAGCCAACAACACAACTACAGCACAAGAGAATGACAACTCTTGCAGCTACACTCCACCCAGTAATTAACCAGTTAAAATAACCTACTATGGTGCTCTCCTTCTAGAGAGCAAAAATACAAAAGGGGAAGAAACACTCAGAGATATCTACCAGGCTTGAACAGGCTGATTCATCCTTTCTATTTAAGACTGTTCAGTATTCTTACGCTTTCACAGCACACACAGCAGTTACAGAAAGGCAGTAACAAAATGGAATGAAAATCCACAAATGTTAAAAAAAACCAAACAACACAACTCCAGACTACTTGGTGAAAATCTAAGACAACTATGAAAACCTGACTCAGTAAAGTTTTCTGAAGTCTAAACAGTTAATCTTATCAGCAGGGCCTACCTTTGATCATGGGTGGCAAAATCTATTGCCTTCATAAAAAATAGCACAAACTTTTCAAACTCTTCCTAGAACAGAAAAAAAATTCTTAATGCAATTTAAATATGGCTTTTATCAGTCAATACATTGTTTTCATATTTCAGTATGTTCAACTTGGCTAAGATTTAGAAAACATGACCGAATAGTTTAATTCAGAAACAGAAAAGGCTAACTGGACATTAGAAAATACTTTTTGAACGTGTACAAAGTTTTACAGGGACTGGTGATGTGTTCTTCTGCGTATGCGCTCAGAGAAGGCAGAGAAAGCACAGATATATAACAGAGAAAAGATTCTGGCTTGAAAGTTAATTCTAACCCATTGTAAAGAAGATATAGCAACACCTGTCAGCTGAAGTTGTGATCACAGATAACGAACATATGTCAAGGCCATTTTAGGGGAGCAGAGAGCACCGACAAACTGTCACAGCTGAGCGACCAAAGTAGGAGGACAAGTGAAATACTGAAGACAGAAAAAAACATGGTATATAGAGACATGGTATCACTGAAGTAAAACACAGACACTTTTAGAAGAAGTATCCTGCCAAGTTGCTACCAGAAAGCTTCATCTCGCATTTCAAAAAGCCACATCCAAAATACGACACGGGAAAGTTACTGGTCAGTGGTGGAAGCACAGTGCAGCTGAAGAGAAATGAACTGTACAACCGCTCTGAGGGCCTCTTCCATCTTCCAGATTTGACCCTGAAGAAATCTGGTGAGTCTTTTACCAGTTACACCTAGATTTGGTCTGAAAGCATTATATTGGTGTAAAAAGTGAAAAGGGTGACATTAAAAAAATTGCATGGAAATTTTGCAAGCATTATTTGTTTCCTCCCTAGTCTAATTCAGCTGGTAAATTGTGTTTACTCCCAAACTACCCAGTCATATATTTTCTTTTGTTTTTCCACACAGTCCTGATTACCTTTGTGTGTTCTAAATGACTGAAAGCAAGACTTAAAAACCTAGAAAGAAGTACTTTTAAAAACTGGCTTAATACAATGTAACATTCATAATTTCTCACCAAATTATCTGTGGAGAGTGGAGCGTGCAACTGGCCTTGGCACAAATACGCTCTGCCAAGAAACTGGTTCACAGGAAATCTTCCTTTAAAGTACATCCGTAGACAGTCACTGCTCATTTCCAGATATCCCAGCTAAGACCAAAACCAGCATTTTAATATTTAAAAAATGCAGAATTAGGAATTTTTAGTTGTTAGAAGTGCATGCCTAATCAAAGCATAACATCTAACTGCACACCAGTATGCAAACAATATTTCATACATCAGAGTGTCAGATCTGGTACAAACCCATTAAGATTTATTAAAATTTAAAGCTAGATTATTGTCAATCCAAAGGTAGAGAAAATTAGCTCCTCTGTTTAACAAAGCTCTTGAGGCATTTATAGAACCTCTCAGAGTATACAAAGAATGCTTCCTTTTGAACAGCTGTTAACAGAATTGTTAATACAAAGGCAAAAGTATTAGGGTTTGGGTTTGTTGCTTTTTTTTTTTAAAAAAAGGATGTGCATTAGCCCGCAGGATTTTGTACAGATGTTAGTGTTGCATCTCAATTTTCAGACAACAGATAGAATTTGAGTGGCTTGCAGCTTGGAAAAAAATACTGTTTTATTAGAAACTGTATGCTTGAAAATCAATCACTTGTACCCATGGATTGAAATTTTAAGAATACTTCTAAAGTGACTGACTGATAAAGAAGCAAAAATGTAGAGTTTTAACTGAAAATGCATGTTTAAGTGATTGCTCTCCAAAACCAGGAGAATGTAATACTTTTTCACCGGTAGTTCTGGAAATATTTTTAGGCAGTAACTTTAACAACTGTAAATCGAATATGACAGGAAAATGTCTGTAGTCAGTACAGATAAACCACCTAAATTACAAACCTGGAATGCTTGTTCAGCACATAAAACATATAAGTCAGTGCTGAAGTTATCTGAGGGGTCAAATGCAGATTTCCCTTGACTGGCTGATTTGATCAACTCATAAGCGTTCTTCAAAGCCTGAACATCTGAAATAAAAAAGGAATAAAGAATGCAACAGATTAATTGTGCTTCAAGGTGGACTGACAGCCATGATCACATTACTTCTAATGAACTACATGGCATCCTGTTTCTCCCTTACAGAAACAGACTGTGAAAATAATAACAAGGAAAATAATACGGAAAATAATGTCGAACGGATATCATTAAAGTTGCAACTCCCCAGCCGCTCAAAGCCAGCATCCTGGGCACGCCAGAAAGGGCACGACTCGCAGTTCCCTGGACCCCAGAGTTCTCTTCCTGTGGGCACGGAAATTCGAGACTGGATCCTTAAAGCTGTTGGACGAAGTACATTTAATTGGAAGAAAAACAGATCAAATTAAGAACAGTTACTTCTTTTCACAGGTAAGAAGGACGTTCAAAGCGCTCAGAGGAAGAACACGCGTTCCGTATTTTGACAACCAAAGCACATTAACATCAGCGCGCTGCCTGCCCAAAGCGGGCGGAGGTTTTTTCCCTTATTTTTGCAGAG